TGGACAGTAATGAGTAGGGGTGGATTTTAATCAAACAGCATTTTTCTCTTTTTACATTACAACGATGCCTTTCGACATTAATTTTACGGTAAGACAAAAGGAAATAATCCATTTGTTTAAGACATTTTTGAACATTTCGTTGGTTTTGACCAATACTTTTGTCTTTTCCCGTCATTTTTGCTGATTTAATTGATTTTAATATAATTTTATCGGTGCTTGCTTCAAACAATATTTATGAAGTGCAGCAAACGTTTAGCACAGAATTCGTGAGTAGCCTATTCGATTCCTTCGCTCATATTTTGTAATGTCAGCCGTTGTACTATGTAATCTGAGGTTCCTGTGGCGCCTATCACCGTCTTTGTCGGTTCGACCAATTTTGCGATAACGATAGAGATATCCTTGTAAATAGCAGTCCAACAAACGTTTGCCAGCTGACTTCACTTGAACGAAAGGAAGAAGCCTCGATTACGCCAGTAACATATTTTTAACGCAATTTTTCTCTGCTTTTAGGGCATTTTAAAAACATTTTAATGATCATTTCTGGCGACGTTTTAATTCATAAAAAATCCGCTCCCTAATAATGACGATCATCCTGAAGGCAGACAAGGGAGACACAGGTGGTGGGATCAAAGCGGAAAGAGGAGAACGTGTGTAGAAGAGTGTTGCAAAAATGGGGTGGGGACCAAAGGTCGGCAGAGAGGAAGAATCTGCGTGATTTCAGAGCGATGAAATCGGAAGAAACGGGGAAAACAAGATGACGGAGGAAGGAGCGAAATACCACTAACTGTGTAGAGGCAACGAAAGAGAGGAAGGAAATGGAGAAAGGAAAGATATGGAGAGAGACACTGTTTCGACTGAGCAATTAAATTTGCCATCAGACAGAAATAAACTTGTCACAAATGTAGCACTTCTCTCTAGTGCGAACGTCTGTCTCCTTTTATTCCAAAGCTCACTTAACATAAGGAACATTAAAAGATTCAATCTCGGTGGTCTCAATCAGAAATTTTGTTGAGTAAAAAGATCTAAGATCTGAATTTAGTGTAAATACATTTTTTATTGTGGAATATTTCTTCTTTTCACCCATCCACTAAAACATTCGTCACTAGGGTGTATCATCATGTACTTTAAGTTTTCCATTTCATTGAAGTTCTTCTAAAGAATAAATCGTTGAAAAGGTTTCTTTAAAGAATGGAGTAAATGCCCTATGTAACACTAGGGTGAGCTCTTTTGACAAGCAGTGCACATAAGAGGTGACTCATTAATATGACTTCTCATGTGCTTAAGTAAATATGTCTTGAGAGTGAAGTTCTTTTTACAGATGGTGCAGTGAAACGGTTTCTTTCCAGAGTTAAAGCGCATGTGAGAATCAAAGAAAGACTTCGGTGTTATTTTTGTCTCACATACGGAACACTGTAATCGTTTATGGATGTTCATGTGTCCTAGTAAGGTTCCTTTTTCACTGAAGCTCTTCTCACACATGGAACACTTAAAAGGTTTCTCTCCAGTATGGCTGCGCATGTGTATTTCTAATTTACTTTTGCTTAAAAAGTTCTTTTCACACACGGAACACTGAAAAGATTTCTCATCATTGTGAAGGCCCAAGTGATATTTTAAAGACCCTTTTTCAGTGAAGGTCTTTTCGCAGATAGAACACTGGAACGGTTTCTCTCCAGTGTGGGAACGTATGTGTCGCTCTAACTTACTTTTGGTTTCAAAGCCCTTATCACACACCGAACACTGAAAAGCTTTCTCGCCAGTGTGGATGAACATATGCGTTTCTAGGAGTGATTTTAATCTAAAGCCCTTCTCACAGAATATACATTTCAAAGACTTGAAACCAGTATGTATTCTTGAGTGTCTCAATAAGTTACCCTTTTCAAAGAAGCTTTTCTTGCAAGAGGTACATTGAAAAGGTCTATCGTCAGTGTGAAAGCGCATGTGTGCTTCTATTTGTTGTTTTCTTTTAAAGGTCTTCTCACAGATGGAACACTGTAAAGATTTATCTTCAGCGTGGAGGAGCATATCCTTATTGAACGAATCTTCTGTACTGAAGCTCTTTTCACAAATGGAACTCAGAAACATGTTCTCCTGAGAGCGGGAATTTTCTCCATCTGTAAACAGAGAATGATTGTGTTAAAAAAAAATAAATGCAATGGAAATGAGAACATTGGACAAGCCATTATTTTTATTTAAAATTCCCCTCAGCCATTTAAAGCTATCAGTGCCGGAAACCAAAAACAAGCAAACCATATCCAAATTTAAGCCTTTATTTCTACCGATGCTTTAATCTCTAATTTTAGACTAATTAAGTGTCCTACTCCCGAATTTTAGGTTCTTGTGGGTCTCCCAATTTCGTGGGCGCGGCTAGTTCCAATCTACAGCAATCAGCGCCAACCAACAAAATAAAACTAATATATTTTTGGAAGTCAACGAAAATGAATCCAAAATTAAAGACTAATTAAAGGTTTTTCAAAAAAATTCCAACCCACATTTTTTTAAAATGAGGGTTGTACAAAGAAAAACTGATAACATACCTTCTTATAGGCTACACGTAAAAACACAAGAAAACTCTAAACGCCAGAAAAATGTGATTCTATCCAAAATTTAAGGTTAAATTATGCAATGGGAAAAAATCAGCGAACATTTTCGAAAATTCAGAGGTGTAGAAAGTAAAATAGGTTACGTACGCTCTTATGGACTCTGTATACAAAATCTTATCGCAAGAAAAATGACACGCTACCAAAAATTTCACGCTAATTTTAGGCCACAGGAAAACTGTTTTGGCCTTCATATTCCAGAATTTAGAATAGTACAAATTAAAACGTATATCATGATTGATTATTAGTGTTTCTGAGCGCATCACCTACTAGGGTGAGTTTCAAAGAGATCCATTAGTCCCGTAATAGTAGTGCACGTTTTATCACGGGAGGTGGCGGTGTTCTTTCCCTGCTGTATGGCTAGATCCGGCGCGGACCTAGCGTCGGCTAGCGGGTTTTCTACAACCAGGTATCTCCTACCAGCAGGGCACCGCCCTAGCCGGGACAAGCTACACGTTCCCAACCGAAAACATGCATCATGTTCTTATGGGCTAATATACAAGAAAACTGTAAAAACCAAAGAAAAAAATACGACACAACTCCAAATTTATGGCTAATTTATGGCTATGGGGAAAATATTATTCTGGCTCTTGTATTCCGAAAGTCGAGGCTGTACAAGGCAAAGCTTTTGACTCTTCTTAATACACACGAAAACTCGAGAATCTCAAAAAAAAAAAAAAAAAAAAAAAAAAAAAAAAAAAAAAAAAAAAAAAAAAAAAAAAAAAAAATACACCCTACCAAAATATAAGGCTTTGGTTAAAATAAAGGTTAAAAAATATATTCCAACCTTTATAATCCTAGGGTATTCTATTTATCTGAGTTTTCGATTGGCCCATAAGAACGTACGTCACCTGTGATCTTTTTTAATAGCATTTAATTTTGGAGAGCAGCAGAGTCTATTCACGAAAATTTTCAAAGAGATACAAACGAGCACATTGTAAATCAATAATCTATAAATCTGAAACAAGTATTCCAAAACTACTAATACAAGTATTTTGATGTATTCAAAGAAATATAAATGTCGAATATACAAATTATATTTCATTAACCTCAAGAATTTGAGTATTGTGATGAAGAAACAAAGTATTATAGGGTTAAAAGCAAACCAAGTTTGAGTTGGTTCTTTAGTTCATTACAATTATCTCATGAAATGAAGAGATTCTCTCGAAATCTGTAAGTTACTTTATAAAAAAATAAATACCTAAATCTGAACGGGTCACAAGAAGAACGGCGTGACTTAAGAAAATGAGTTTAGTTCACTCTGAGTATTGTGGGTAATACTTTAGAAGGGCAGAGAGGTTCTAGGTAACTGCTGTGGCCCAGCTGCAGGCAGGGGAAGTGAATTGACGAGTGACACGTTTAACATTTAAACACGTAAACATTTAAGCGTTTACAGGAACGAGAGTTGTGTATTTTTGACTTGCGATGTAAAATGTTTTGGAGGGTGGAGGCTCGAATTTCATGCGGAACTTTACACGACCAATGTTGCCATCAACGATGCCTTGGAAATTAATGAATTTCCAATTTTTAATCATCTTTGTTACAATTAATCAACTACTACCCCAGTGCTAATAGATATTACACCAACACAGGGATCTTGTGATAAAAAAAAGGCATACAACTTTTTCGCATCTGAATTGTCACTTCGTAATACTGCATTTCTAGCATCCATATGTTATTCATCATTTGCATGTGAAATACCACAAAACTTGGTCGATGACGTCAGCTGTTGTACTGATCGAAGCAATCCTCCTTGCCGGTGCACTATCTATTAATCCTCTATCTCGCGTTAAGACCAATACTTCGCATTCAACGCGTTAGTGTTTGAGAGCGTAAGCTTCCGCGGCCGGGGACGATAACCTGGCAATGTGCGTGTAAGGGGTGAGGATAGGACAAGGAATGGGAAGGAGATATCGCGCGTGGTTCCTGGCCTACTCCGACACTCGCCTATTGATCACGGAAAATTATCGAACAAAAGTCGACCCAGCTATCTAGCTAGTGCTGCGAATACTGCCGCCGTCGGGAGTGAAACCATAGGACCTCCAGGTCAGAGGCGCTGCAGTGACATCAGTTGATGTCCTGAGCCACCTCTCCCGGTCTATTTAGGTTCTCTAAAAGCCTTTCCGTTCTCGCGTAAGGCAGGTTTCTGGCATATAGAATTTTATAGTTATTTTCACTATAAAATAGTTCCGTACTGGGATTTTGTGTCCGAAATGACAGGTTTCGTTTTAGGTTTTACTGTAGAAGCACAGGAATAGAAAGATGGTGCACGAGAATAGTATGGCAGATCACAATATGTTGGAGATTCTAATAAGATTTATTCTCTGTACATCAGCAATTCATAAAGACAAGTGACAGATTTGCACCTCAAAATGTATTAGATAATTCGAAAATAAATAAATTCTACTCACCTTGGAAACAGAAATCATTTTCTTCTTTTATTAAAGCAGGAACATCTTCGCTGCACGATGCAAGAGGATCCTACAACAAAAGACGTAAAAAAAACTCAAAATGAAGAAAGCAATTGAGTAGCATTGGTTTCAAACATTTGCTTTAGGCAACAACTTTAATCAAATCACACCCTAGAAACTAATACTAGCTTATTTAATTTAATTTTTTTCGTTCAATTATTTAATCTTAGCTCTTACAACTGACCTACAGTTATAAGTGAACAATGTAGTAAAATGAAAGCTTAGGCTACCGCGGCCGAAGTCGCGCTTGTCTGTCTGGGAGACACCGCGTCCTAGGCACTGGTGCCAATGTTTTTACCGCCATTGTCACCTTCCCGCTGCTAACATTTCGCCCTGAGGAAGGTCGCACAACGGCGGCTGAGTCGCTGGAACTTTTGCCTAGGAAAAAGCTTCGATTGCCTATTCCACTCCTTACAAACGGCTCCATTTCGGACTGATCAGCGTGCACTCGTAACCACCGGCTGCCACTTTCTCCCCGTCGCTCCAGGAGGCGCATCAGTTCGGTTCGACTGGACTTCGACCCTCGAGCCTCACTGTACCGCAGTTCGCGTTCCCTGCGGGAGTTGGCAACGGGCGCAAGCAGTACAACATCAGCCTGTTCAACAATTGTCTCTTTGCAATTCATATCTATTACTTTGCAGTCCTTTTTCAGCATTAGTGGTGTAGAAGAAAATACTAACATTAATATTTCGTTTGCGTTAAATAAAAGTAAACTTACTTTCTCGCATATGTAGTATACAGTTATGTAGTGCTGCGGAAAATTGATTACGAGACCTCAAATACAGGTTTTGGTATCCCTGATACCGAAAAGGTTTTTCTCAAAACATTCGACCGACCGTCTGTGAACACCACTAGCGCCTGGACTATACGTACGATTTCTTCCAAAATGGATATTCCCCAGCTGATCTGACTCGACTCGAGGCGCTGCGGTTTCGAAAAACTTTCTTCAAAATTTGAGGGTACTTTACATGAAGCCCTACGGGCATTTTAAAAATATTCTCAAAAACGGTTCCACATTTTTTCTTTACATTTCTTGTAAAAATATAGCCAAATATACTTATAAAGATGGCATAGGTCTGATTTTCACGAAAACAAGAGCTCCAATAGCGAATTTACGTACTGTGAGTGAACAGCTCCGACGGTCATTAATTTTCCCCTTGATATCTGTGGCTTGTGATGACAGGATATGGAATTTGATTACTCTTAATCCACACGGAACAAACACTTGTTCTTATTTATTTCCAAACATAACAAAATTAGGCTGCCTTTCACCATGTCACAGCAGTGTGTAACGGTTAGCGTATCGGTCTGTTATACCCAAGTTAGCGGGTTCAAACCCAAACGAAACTGTGGTTTTTCAAGGGTGAAAAAAATACTTCGCAGGCCTTCCTTCGGTTGGGAAGTAAAGCCGGCTGTCCCATGCATGTAAAAGATTCTCAAGCCTAAATGAAGCCTCTCTAAAATCAAATCGGAAAGGAGCGTAACGAAATTTGCGTGGTCAGACGAAAGAGCAGACCTCGTGGCCTGAGTCTCGCTAGGCAAAATAAGGCATTAATTCAATGTTTCCTTGCAAGAAATGGTAAAACAACTTACCTTGTCTTCTTGGAAAAAATCTCCCTCGCACTTATTTGGCTCAATAAACACAGCTATTGGGGGCTCCAACTCCTCCTGCACAGAACATACATAAAACCCCAGCATTACTTACAGAAATAATATTACTACTTTGGTTTCGTTAAATTACCCATAAAATCATTCCCCCATCTTTTGAATTATTGTTTTAATATTGAAAACCACTTCATATTAGAATTAATGACCAGCTGCTAAACTGCTCGCAATAACCCTGTGTCTCAGGAAATAGTCCTCTCAGTATCCCTTTACTTTTTCCTAAACGTACGTATTGTAGCTAATCAGTGCGCTGTGATAGTAATATAATAGGTATTTATGTAAATATGTCCTGTAAATCAGAACTATGCAGGAAATGCGAGGCGCAGCGATAGTGGAGTTGAGTAGATCTTCCGAGTCCTTAAAGACTAATAAAGGACGTGTTACATACAATGTTTTTTGTTATTTTAAGTTATTCTAGTAATTCAAAATAGATATTTACCACTTTCGTGGGTTAAGCATTGTCATCACTCTCGATGTTCGGTGGCAAGGATCTTGGTACTTTTAAACAAGAAACGCAGTACGCGGAAGGACCAAGAGGACGAAGAGGGACAAACGGGGAAAGGCCGAAAAGAGCATGGAGAGAAAATGGGTCTAAATTTACAAAATTGGACAAGATGGAGGAACAAAATGGGAAAGGTGGGCAGATTAGACAAAATGGGACAATGCGGACATCGGGGAAAAATGGAACAAGGCAACAAAGCGAGCCAAGGGGGCAAACGGACAAGGGGTAAGTACGACACATTTATCCAACGGTTTATGAGCACTGGTAAAATCTCAATCCGAGTATGCTAAACTATTTTAATGGGCTCTTGAGCATTTTAGCGGCCACTGTTATGAACTCGCTCTTAAAGCGTTTTTCAGCTGGTTGCTTGCTAAGGGGCTAAGCGCGCCTTTACCAACGTAAATATCCAAAACTAATTTTTCGATGAGTGAGGGCGCTCCGGCATTAGGGATGCGACATCGATGTTCAAAATTAAAACAAGGATGTTAAAATAACATCCATGTTTTTAAAACTGATTTAATAGCCTCTATTTGTAATTTTGACGCGGAGACAAAATTTAATTCGGTAATAGCACTGATGTCTACGGATTTCTCATCTCCGCGAGAAACTTGTGTCTGAAAGCCCGACCGCTCAGAGGTTCGGAGCTTCCTCGGTTCTCTGAAAAGGGCACGAGAAGAGGGGGGGGGGGGCGCCCACGGACGTACGCAACCGCGCTGCAAACGTTGACGCCTCTCCGCGTGAAACGACGACAAGCGTAGGAAATATCAGGGCACGTTGCTCAGCTAAGAGATGCTCTGCTCGGTGAAGGTGCATTCCGTCCGAACACATGATCGGTTACACGTCAATATTTCATCTCTTACGAAACTGTGATTATTGGACTGTTTCATTTACATTAAAAAATGGAACACTTAAAAACATCGATGATTTAGCGAAAAGGACGTAATTCACAAAAATACATAATTTTTGTGAACTACCTCATAAAGTTGGGATATAATTTACCTGTATGAAAATGACTTATAATTGTCAAATTGTGTTTATATTTGCTTCAAAATATTTAGTTTTTGCCGCTAATGATGTTCGATTTGTAACGAACGGGGTTGGGCAATATTTAAATACATTCACCTGTTCATTGATGACGCTTGAATGACTCTTTTCCTTTGCTGGTTTATATTTTCGCCAACTACGGGTTTATTGTCTGATGATTTGCTTAAAAAAAGCATTCGTTTTTAAAGGAAATTCCATTTCTTTGTGTTAGACATTTTTGACATTGTTTTATATTTGAAAATATTTATACATATGATTATAATACATTACAATATTTATTGTCAAAAATATGAATGACTGTCAATTACATTTTTACTGCAATTGACAATTCCCAATCATATTGTTGTAATAAAAAAATACATAATTCAAAATTGTTATTTATTACAGCATTTTGAGAACATTGTACTTCCTGGAATTAATTCTTAAATGTTGAATAGTTATAAACGTAAAAGCCACTGGCCCGAAGGCAGACGTTCGCTCACTTTTTAGAAAAGCGCACGACGGCAACGCCGTGCGCTTGGGGCGCTTCATTCAAATCGAGCGACAAGATTCCTGAAAGATCTGCACAACAAGCCAATTATAAAATTGATGGCAACTACTACTGTGAATTATCAGCTTTTTCGCTTTTCAATAATCAAATTTAACATTATAACAATTTTACAGAATGTTGTAGAACTCATGAATTAACAGGATAACTTCCATATATA